TGGCAGGCAAGACTGAGTGAGGGAATATAAGAATTACTAAAAACGGTGGGAGAGAGAGGGTAGATAAATTTCACAACTCAGAAATAACCTTGTAAACAGTGAAGAATGAGTTTTACTCCACACAGGACTCCTAAAAATCTCAATTAACATGAAAACTAATAAAAAATAAAACAAACAGAAAACCCACTGTTTTGAGACTTTCCATTTGAAGCTGCTGGAAGAAAGTAGCTTTGTTTTCCTCTCTTTTACAAATATCACCCCAAACCATAAAAAGAAGAAGAAACACAAACGGCATATTTTATAAAACTAGGCAGTATCTGTACCAGTGGAGGAGAGGATGTTTAACCCTAAAAGTTTCAGCAAGAGGGTACACGGCACCAACAAGAAGCAAGCCAACATGCGATAAAGGACCTAGGGCAGGTCAGGAATTAGAGGTATAAACTGGAAATCAAGAAACCCTAGAAGAAAGAGGAAAACTAATAGTTGTATGCAAAAGGAAATGTAATCATAGTTCAAAACTTGGCTTAACAAGTAACAATATTTATAATGTGCTGGACTGCAAAATTGGTTTGAACTGCAAAGTTGGTGATTCAAGCTCACCAGCTGCTCCTTGTAAACCTTATAAAGAGTCACTGTGGGTCAGAACCGACTCGAAGGCACTTAACAACAGCAACAACAACACTATAAGCAAAGAAAACAAGAAAGATGTTTACCAACACTTCACTGACTATGTAATGGCATTTGACTGCAGGTCAGAAAAAAACAATGAATAACACTGTGAAGACTGAAGATTCCAGACCAACTGTGCTCATGTAGAACCTGTAATAGACTAAGAGGCAGTCATTCAAACAGAACAAAGGGACACTAAATGGTTTAAAATCAGTGAAGGTATGTGTCAGGGTTGTATACTTTCACCATACTTACTCTATCTGTAAGCTGAACATATCCAAGGAGCTAGATTATACACAAAAGAGTACAACACCAGGACTAGAAGACTCATTAACAACCTGTGATATGCAGAAGACACAACACCTTGCTTGCTGACAGTGGACTTGAAGCACTCATTGATGAAGACCAGAGAATGCAACCTTTAGTATGGGTTACACCTCAACATAAAGAAATCAAAAATCTTCACAACTGAACCAGTAAGCAACATCATGACAAATGGAGACAATACGGAAGTTGTCAAAGGTTTTTAGTTGGAGCCACAAATAATGCCTATGGAAGCAGCAGTCAAGAAATCAAACAATGTATATCACTGGTTAAATCTGCTGCAAAAGACCTCTTTAAAGTATAAAAGAGCAGAGATATCACTCTGAGGACTAAGGTGCTCGTGACCCAAGCCATGGTATTTTTAATCACCTCATATGCATGGGAAAGCTGGACAGCAAATAAGGAAGACTGAAAAAATATTGATGCCTACTGAATTATGGTGTTGGCAAAGGATATCGAAAATACCATGGACTGCCGGAAGAATAAACAAACCTGTTTTGGAAGAAGCATAGCTGGAGGGCTCCGTGGAAGTGAGGCTGGTCAGACTTGCATACTTTGAACACGTTACTAGGAAGGACCAGTCCCTTGAGAAAGACAGAATGCTTGGTAAAGTGGAGTATCAGCGAATAAGAGGAAGACCTTCAACAAGATGAACTGACACAGTGGCTGTCAAAGTGGGCTCAAACATAACAACTGTACAGCTGGCACAGGACTCGACAATGTCTTGTTGTTGTGCATGTGACCGCTATGAGTTGGAACTGACTCAACAGCCCTTACCAAGAACAACAATACAAATCTGAGAAAGAATTCCATTGGGCAATTAAGAGACGGTATTATAAACAAAAATCACTTCTACAATCACAGAAAACCAATAGAAATGCCTATAATTCATGAAACAAAGAATTAGATAAAACCACTATGAAACAATGGAGAAAAGACTGAAGTTGTCAAGGACTTCATTTTTCTTGGATCAACTGTCAACACTCGTGGAAGCAGCAGTCAAGAGATCAGACGACGTACTGCATTGGGCAAATCTGCTGCACAGGAACTTTTTAAAGTATTGAAGAGCAGAGATGTCCGCTTGAGGACTAGGGTGCGCCTGACCCAAGCCATGGTATTTTCAATAACCTCATATGGATGTGAAAGCTGGACAGTGAATAAGGAAGATCGTAGAAGAATTGATGCCTTTGAATTGTGGTGTTGGAGGAGAATACTGAAAGTGCCATGGACTGCCAAAAGAACCAATAAATCTGTTTTGGAAGAAGTGCAACCAGAGTGCTCCTTGGAGGCCAAGATGGCTAAGCTTCGTCTCTCATGCTTTGGACATATTGTCAGGAGAGAACAGTTGCTGGAGAAGGATGTCATGCTGGGTAAGGTGGAGGGTCAGAGAAAAAGAGGAAGACCCCCAACGAGATGGATTGGCCAGGTGGCATCATTGATGGACTCAAGTGTGGCAGCGGTAGTGAGGTTGGCCCAGGATCGGACATTGTTTCGTTCTGCTGTGCATGGGGTTGCTATGAGTCGGTACCGACTCGATGGCACCTGACAACAACAACAACTATGAAACAACAAACTGCTAAAGCAGTTCAATGTAAGCTCAAACCAAACCGAACTCAGTGCTGCAGAATCGATTCCAACTCATAGCAACCCAACAGAGGCCGAATGCCCCTTGGGATTTCCGAGACCGTCGATCTTGACAGAAACAGCTTCATTTTCTCCTGCAGAACTACTGGTGGTTGAAACTGCCAACCATATGGTTAGCAGTTCAACACCTAACCCACTGTGCCACCAGGGCTCTTAGGCAGGCATGTTGTTGCTGTTAAGTGCCATAATTTAAGCAGAGCTTAAATAGAGAATAGAAAACGAGGCCAATGAAACACAGAAGATACAATTTTCATGTCCAGACAGTAAGAAAAGAAGAGATTATTGAAAACTTAATCACTTAGTTATTCACTTGGAAAAAAAAATTAAATTAGATCTCTATTTCACACCACTTACAGTAATGATAATAATAAAGAACCCCAAAACATTCCAGATGGTTCAATGATCCAAACAAGCAAAAACTATAGAGTTAATTTCAGGAAAGCAAAGAGACTATTTTAATTATTTTATGTTGGAGGGTGGAAAGATATTTCCGTTCAAAATATAAAAACCTAACTGCTGCAAAGGAAAATATGGACATGTGAAATTTTACCATGTGAAAAACAACAACAACAAACTTGTGGCAAAACACCATAACCAAAGTTGAAATCTAAAAATGATTTACAGGAGAAAATATCCGTACATACAATGAAGTGTTTCGATCCAAAATGCATATTAAGAGCACTAACAAACACATTTAAAATGACAGAAATGAGCAAAGACATGTAAACCAAGTCACAGAATCAACACACATATATAGATATTGGGAAGAGCACTCAAGAAATGATTAAATGAATGTAATTAAATAATATCCTACTCGATGCTTTTTAAAAATTCATTGTATCTAATATTGAAAAGAATGTGGAAAATTCCAAAAAACCCCACAAAACCCATGCAAAGTCCAGGGTGCTGTTAAGTGTCACCTAACTGGTTCAGACTCCAAGCTACCCTACATAGGGTTTCCAAGAAGTGGCTAGTGGGCTTGAACAGCCGACCTTGAGTTTACCAGTCTAGTGCTTATCTTACAGCAACACACCAGGACTGTATAATGCTGGGAAGAATGTGAATTAGAACAAATGTTTTGTGGAAGGCAATTTGACATCAAGAAAGTTTAAAATGCAAAAACTGTTTAGCCAAGTAATTCTACTTCTCTACATTTATGCTGGACTCCTGCTGTGGCACTGTATGATCAGCACTGGACTGTGAACCACAGGGTCAGCAGTTCAAACCCACTAGTTACCCTTGGAAACCCTACACAGGGTCTCTAGGAGTCAGAACAGACTCAGTGGCACTTAACAACAACAAATTTGTGCCACAATGTCATTTATACATGTGTGTAAGAAATGTTTTCATAGCAGGGGAAACACACACACACACGCTTCACGACAATAAATCTATCTGCTTGCTTTTATAAATGGAGTAGGCTAGGGTACAGTAGAATGGGTTTTCATTGCTTACTTCCTACATTGCTGGATTGTTTTAATTTGATACAACGGGTACATGTTACTTTTCATGTACTTTGATTTTTGCAAAGAAGTCAGGTACCAATCTGGTCTCAAGACAGAAGTTTGGGTTTTTCATACTAAGAAATTACTAAATCCAATTTAAATTAAGTGTATTTACACTTGTTAAATGTTGTGTTGTTGTCTCTTACTCATAGTGACCCTACATAGGGTTTCCAACACTTTAAATCTTTATGAGAGCAGAAAGTTTCATCTTTCTCCTGTGGAGTGACTGGTGGATTTGAACCACTAATCCTGCTGTTAAGAGCCCAATGCATAACCACTGTGCTACCTGGGCTCCTTGTATTTACACTCTGTACTATTAATCTAGAACAGTGCTGCCACCTACACAATTTCTTTCTACCTTTAGATTTCTTGGGGATTTGGAAAAGTGCTTCCTTACCCTTATTCCTGGTGTGGCGCTACAGGATACACACGGGACCAAAAGGCTGGTTTGAACCACAGGTCAGTGGTTCAAACCCACCAGCCTCTCCTGGAAATCCTATAGAGGGTCACTATGAGTCCACTAGATGGTGCTTAACAACAACCATCCTTATTCCAAGTTAAACGTTTGCTAATGGAGGGGAAGAAAAGTGTCAATAACTCAAAAGACCTTTCTATGTGGCTTTGTAATACACTGTGTGTTAAAAACAAAACCGTATCTACCTAATTATCAGGCTTAAATAAAGATCTTAAACTAATTAGCATTTCTGAGCATTCTCCCAGACTTCTACAGAACAACATCAATGAAACACCTATATCTAAACAACAGGCAACTAAAGTGAACAACTGATTTTGCCAATGTTTAAAACCAAGGATTTACAAGATTTTAAAGAATGATATATTTATAAAGAGGCTGCTTACCTTACAAACAGAAATAACATTAATATTTATAAGTTTCTTGATGGTCTGCAAAAAAAAATTGATAATTTTATAAAGATTTGACAATGCTATTAGAAATGTACTTCAGTACCCTAGGGATGCATAGAAAATTTCTTCAGATATTCACCAAGACCTTGGAAAACTGGCAGGAGTTAGGGTGGAGAGGCAGACTTGAGTTCATTCACAATACAGGTAGCCTCTGCTTTTTGAAAGTTGGCTTTTGTGCTGTTTGTAACTTTTAAGAAAGATCCACATTAGTACGTATTTTTGCTAACCGAAAGAAATTCCAAGAGGATTTCTGCTTTTAGGGAAAAAATGTGAAGCTAGTGTTTTGCAGTAAGCTGCTGAAGAGGAGACAAGCTTCTTCCTGGGAACTACACTTAGTATCTTGACATCAAGCCCCCACAGCTTTGAACTCCGTCTGTAAACACTGTATGTATGCTATACTAGAGTCATTTTAGGCTTTATGTGTTATTTGGTATGACCTGGCAAGTTATTCGTGGGGTCTGGAAAATACAAAAATTTTACCCAGCTAGATTAATGGTAATTGCTTGTTTGTTTTAGGCCGTTTCGATTTACAAAAAGTTTCATACAAATGCTCTACTTGTGGATAGTGGGGGAAACTTGTATTATAGTATTTTTCTACCAACAGCAGCAATTCATGCTAATTTGCAAATTCCAAGGTCAATGTGCAGGTTATATCTGGAAGCAAAAAGACACAGTAAGTCTAAAATAAATATGAATATCGCAATTTCTGCTCTGCTAATACAGAGAGTAGAAATTGTTGAATGTTAAGATTTTCAGTTAATTAAAACAAATTCATGTAGGCCTTCAGTGATATTATGCTTCTCTAGTTTTGATTACAGTTTGGTTGAGTTACTTCATTTGAGTCCATCATATTGCTCTATTAACATACTGATGATTGAAAAATTGATCCTTTGGAAGTGGATACTTAACCAAGGCTATTTTGATAAAATAATGAAATTAACTTGAGTTATGATTGAATCTGACACTGTAAAAATGAGGTTATAAATATCTTCTCACTGAATGCTTCCCGGGGTCACTGAGCTTGTTAGTAAAAGACAGGGTATGAACCTTCAAGCAGCTGAACACCAATTCTCAGAGTTTTTATCATGACACCATATGCCAACATGCATTGTTTTTGTTACTCTGCTATACAAAGGAAAACTTACATTGTCCAAGTCCGGAATATCTAAAAAGTATTCAGGATATTCATATGACATCCCCACGTTGTTCACTGCAATGAGACAAGATCATTAGTTGGCTATCATATGTATTTGATGTTTTAAAAACCCACTCCCACTGAGGGGATTCTGACTCACAGCAACCCTGTGTTGGGTTTCCGGGGCTGTGAATATTGATGGGAGCAGAAAGCCTCATCTTTCTCCTGGGTAGTGTCTGGTGGGTTTGACCTGTCGACCTTGTAGTTAGCAGTCCAGTGCTACCTTGCAATGTTACACCAGGGTTCATATGCTTTAAAGATGTATTGCAATGATAAGATTAAAGATATGAAGACTAAAATGATATATGTTGTTGTTGTTGTTATCGACCCTGTATAGGGTTTCCAAGGAGCAGCTGGTGAGCTTGAAACACCAACCTTGCAGTTCAAATGACTTTGGAGTCTGACGCATTAGCCCACAGCGCCACACCAGGACTCTAAAATGATACATACAATTATATAAAATACTGTTCGAGGCAGGCTTTCAATTCCAGTTCAAATGTCACCTCTATCATTAAGCCTTTCTGTACCACCCAGCCAACCCCTGACAAAGGGACTCATCTTCTCTCAATTTCCAGAGTTCCTTGTAACATGTATAGTTGGCCTTTGTCATGGTTATTGGTAGCTATTACATAATCCCTCTCCAGGTCTTAAATGTTCATAGTCCATTTTTATCCTGTTCAACAGTCTTCAACCACCAGGGGTCCTAGGAACCAATCCTACGAAAGATCTGTTAACAATTAAGCCAAAACTCATTGAAGGTAAAGCTTTAAGTTCACTTGATTTCGTTCTAATCATCTACAGAATTATAAATGAGCAGAAGGAGCAGACAATCCCATAAAACAGGAGAGTGGCCACTCCCGTTCTCGCTATGACTGTTTCAGAAAATGAGACAAGGTACCAAAGACACATCTTTACAATCAGAGCTCAATTATTCCTCCAACAAGTATTTGCCCTAGACCGATGGGCGAGTACTAAGGAGCTCCAGTGGTATAGTGCTTAAGTGTTCAGCTGCTAATTAAAAGATAGGTGGTTCGAACCCACCAGCCTCTCCATGGGAGAGAAATGTGGCTTTCATAATGATTCACAACCCTATTAGGCAGCTCCACCCTGAACTGTTAACCCCAAGGTTGGCGGTTCAAACCCATCAGCCACTTCTCGGAATCCCTATGCAGGTCCCTAGCAGTCGGAACCGACTCAGACGGCAGTTAACAACAGCAGCAAAGGGTTACTATGAGTTGAAATCTATTTGATGGCAATGGTTTTGTTTGGTTTTTGGTTTATGGGTAAGAACTAGTGTTAAGAACGAAAAACAAAACAAGCCCAGAAAGGAAAAGACAGCTTCTGCAGCATATAATAATCTAGAAGAAAGAGAAAGATATTAAACTAAAAAGAGCTGAATAACTATGTCATTGTAACCCTGTAAAGTGTAGAATGCCACGGGCCCCTATTCCTCCAGAGCCTGACCTCTGGTAAACGTGGGAAGGCTAACGAGGCCACAAGGCCACAAGGCACTAAAAGTAAGAGGTCATGACTCTTCCCAACACCTAACCTGAAGCTGAGGATACAAGACAATCAAAAACACAGGAATACTGCTCGCTTCGACAGCACATCTACTCAAATTGGAATGATACAGAGATGATTAGCATGGCCCCCATGCAAGGATGACACGCAAAGTTGTGAAGCCTTCCATGTTTGTTTGTTTTTTTACACTTAGTTCACAATTAAGTGAAAAAAATAAAAAAAAAATAAAATAAAAATATATATATATATATTTACATATAATTATTATTGCTAAGTGCTGTTGAGTCAGTTCCTATGTATAGCAAGCCTGTATAGGCTTTCCAAGAAGTGGCTGGTGAGTTTAAACTGCCAGTCTTGCAGTCCAGTGCTTATCCTACAGCACCACACCAAGACTCCTAGAAAGATAAAGACAAAACCAAGATAAGGAATATTTGCAGGAACCAATAAATAAATAAAACAACTTAAACTTTATTTTAGCTAAGTAAATAATTACCTAACGGATCATCTAAATATATTCAGACTAATAAATTATGATCTAGGGCTCCCTGGCATCCATGAAAGTCATCTACACCCTCAGAAATTATAGTTGCTAGATTAATGGTGTTCTTTATTTAGTTTCCTCTTACTTCTTCTAGAACTGCAGACTATGATAATACAGCAAACATTTATCCAGGGCTTCTTAGGTGCCAGAGACACTGCAGAATAAACAATGAATTCTAACTACCAGGTCAGCAGTTCAAATCCACTAGTCACTCCATGGGAGAAAGATGAAGTTTTCTGCTTCCGTATGATTTACAGCCTAAGAAAACCTTCATAGGGTCATTATGAGTAGAATCAACTCAACTTAGGCAAGGAATGTTGTTAATACACACATACATTTAATCATCACAACAACTCTGTTTGGCAGCTCCTATTACTATCTCTCTTTTACAAGTCAGGAAACGGACATTCACAGACATTAAATAATTTGTCCAAGATCATAGAGCCAAGTCAGGCTGGGATACAAACCATGAGATTTTATTTCAGACACTGGGCTCTTAATCACTGTGTTAAAGCCCTCCTATGCCTGCATCCAATATGCAATTCAGAAAAGAAAAAGAGAACTCAGTAGTGATTGAGTAATAAACACAAATGTGATAGCAATGTTTAATAAAACTGGGAAGTATTAGAAAAAATGGGGGGGGGTAACGTAAGAAATAATGGAAATATGATCAATAGGCAGAAGCTAGTAGGGAACTGTGCCGGATCACCCTGATAGTAGTAATAGTAACTTTTCCAACAGGCTAACAAAATTAGTAGTTCAAGGAACTCATAAAAGCTCTATATTTAGCTGCCAGCTAGTCACTTGAGGCTGCGATTCTCAAGATTTTACTTGCAAAATTCGGTCAGGATGACTTGAACAGGATCACAGAAACCTGTGTGAATATCTGTAAGCTAAGAATAATGGCAAAGCAAAGTGTATTTAACCAGGATTCATGTCCACCTGAAGAGGGACAGTATCTAAACATAATTAGTAGCAGCAGGTCCAAGTCCATTTTTATCCTATTTAATAGTCTTCATCTACCAGAAGTCCTGGGAGCCAATTATATAAAAGATTTGTTAACAATGAAGGTGAAACTTTATGTTCAATTGACTTGACTTCAACCATCTACACACCTACAAATGAGTAATTTATATACAGTGTAAGTGGGAAAACCAGCAACACCCTAAACATTTGTTCAAATGCAAACAGTCTTTACAGAGTCAGTACAGATAACAGACTCCTTAGAAATCTCATTAAAGATTGGGCTGAATTATACCATACTTCAGGATTTAAAAGAAGAAAAAAAATCCACCATATATGTGGCTCTGTAAGATAAGCGCAGAACCACAAAGTAGGTTTGAACCACAAGGTCGGTGGTTCAATCTCACCAGTCACTCCTGGGGAACCCTATACTGGATTTCTATGAGTTGGAACCAACTCGACAGCACTTAACAACAACAACAAAACTGAAAACTCCATCTCTCATATCTAGAATACGTTCTCCTTTCAGATTTCTTTCTAACCCATGGAAATGTGAATGCTGTAGTTCAAAATGTTGGAAGAAAATCGAGAACTTTCTAAGCAGCCCAGTTGACTTTGCGGTCTTGGCATGAGCTACGAAGCCCCAAGTACAGCAGTGTTACTCTGGTTAAGGTTGTGTTAGTGATAGGAAGACTTCACATCTGTCTCTGCTAACTGGACAAAGGAAAGCTATCAAAGCTCTCGATTTTACACACAAAAAAAGTGAGTATCTACTTAAGATAGCTCTATTAATAACATGTTCAACATCGAGGATTTCAGCTCAAAGAAATAAATAGGATCATGTATAAGGCATATGTTTTTATAACCAAAAATACACACAGGGGAAAAAAAATGCTATAGATTTTTCAGAACATCAAGGAAGGAAATAGATTTTTCAGAAGATCAAGTTCAGTTTTATAAGTGTAAAACATGCCAAGGTCATACTGGTGATTTGTTCTGCACTACAGATTGTTGTTGTTGTTGTTAAGTGTCCTATGCCAACTCACAGTGACCCTGTATAAGGTTTCCAAGGTTGGTTTGAACTGCTGGTGGGTTTGAACTGCTGACTTTGCAGTTAGCAGTACAGTGTTTCTCCTCCAGGGCCACACCAGGACTCTTAAATCTTTTGCGTTCTTTCTAGGACTATAAGAATGTCTTCTGTTTTATTGACTCTAATTTTGCTTGTGGAAAGCATGCTGTCCATAATCTCTATACAAAAAGTAATCACTTCAGAATGCTATCATTTATGAGTATAGAGAAAACCAACTGTTGCTTTTAGCTATTTCCACATACGAAAAGGCAAATTGATTGCAATTTTATCTTGAGACATTAGGTGGCAGCAATAGCCAAATGGCAGACAGAAAGCTTTCTGTGAACTGCAAAAGGGGGAAAGCAGACTTGGGGTAAACGTGAAGGATTGAAATATTGCTATTATAATACAATCTCATTAAGAGTGTGGGTGCCTGCAATTTCATCTCTATATATTATAGGATTCATTACTGGATTCACCAAACCAAACAATGGCACCAGTTGTTTCAACATCATTTAGATAGCTGAAATCCCTTTTAAATGGTAGTCTTTTGAATTAGCACTGAAAATCTGTTCAATGATGATTTTTCTCTTAAAGTGAGGCACCAGAGACAGTTTAAATTTTCTTATTCAGTGATCTTCAAAACACTTTTGCTTGTCTAAAATCCAGCATGTCCCCTTTCAGAAAACACAGGATGTCTGTGTCCTCTCAGAATTCCCACCACCATCCCAATAAACATCGCAGGACCTTGGACAGTAAGAGAACCTATCCCAGCAGACTCTCATTCAAATTCTAAGAACTCAACAACAGAAGAGATGAGGCACCTGGAGAATGGAGACTAAAGATGAAGGCAGACCAAGACAGACCAAATGAGAAGGGACCGGGGTGGCAGGCAGAGAAGGAAATATAATAGAGTTGCGT